CATCAATACATAAGCCATTAGTTTAGTAATTTCACAAGGAATGAGGATAAATAAAATCAAGTAGTGAATGAACCAAGTACATATTTTGGGTGTTGTGTAGGCTGTTTGAATTAAAAGCTTGAACTTGTGGTTAACAGTCTTGGATGGACCTGTTAATAGCTATGTATTTTTACTTGGAAAATGGAGTGGATTCAGGCTACTAATATAGTGTGTCTGATTGACTGAGTTTAAATGCAAACTTCAGTTGCATTTTGTTGGAAAAGAAGTCAAAAGGGAACGGAAGTCAACCACCTTTTTTTTAGTCAAAGCAGTAGTAGTGTTAAAAGAGCCAGAAGATACCCAGTTTCTAGCTTTCTGTGGGTTTTTTGTTAACATATTCCTAGACTAATTGTTGGGGTTTTTTTCCCCTCTTAACTGTACACCATAAAGTATTATTTAAAGACTGTTAAATTTGAAAATATTGACATGTGATGTGGACTTTCTGATTATTTTGCTCAGATGAAAGGAAAAAAGACGCGATCTCTTTCTGAAGATTCAAGTGGGGCTCCAGTGGAAGAACAGCCAAAGACAAAAAGCACTAACACATACAGACTGGAGTCACGTAATAAATTTCGGGATTGTTTAGTAAGAGACAAAGCTCAACAAATACTAACGGTACAGTATTTTTTAAATTAATTGTCTGATTTTATTGCAAAAGTAGCTTGTCTTGCAAAGGTACTTATGGAACAAGGTAAATTGCATGAACTTAAGCATATGCATAAATCTCTACAGTCTTTGAGTTTTGCCACAGAAATACATTTGTGAATATGCTCTGTTTTGGCAAAGTGCAGAAGGGCCTCTGCAAGGTCGCTGCCGAGCTTGTTAGGTGCTGTTTACGTGGAGCTGAATCTTCTTAAACGCTTGCCTTTTTTGAAATCAAATTGAGCTACAGCCCAGTTCAAAGTACCCTGATCTGCAAAATATCCAGTTAGCCAAAGATCATGACCTCAAGTTTGTGGAATTCTATTAGTTCTGCTAATATCACATGACCTGCCTAAAATATACGTGGTGTTCTTAATCATCAGACTGCTACATACAAAAATTAAGCAAAAATGAAAGAAAACAATCTGTGGAGATAATACGTAGCTGTTAGTGATACTTTGAATAGTTATAACCAGCTCTTTTTAATTTTGCTGTCTGGAAGACATGCCTTTGATATTTGGAACTGGTATTTGTAGCCCTCTTTTCCTGTGAACTGAGCCCAAATGATAGAAAAGAATACACTCCTCATTGTTAAATTGAGATTGGCTGGACAATTGGCTGGACACACACCAAATGTGTGTCCCTTTCAAAAAAACAGATAAAACATTTTAGCGTGAAAGTAGCGCATCCTTTGCTGTTTGGGAGTATCATCTATATTGACTATTCTACTCATTAGTTCTTCTCATGTTCTTGTAATGAAAATGACTGTAAAAGGTTTTTTTGCAAAAGGCTACCAGGATGAAAACTAAGATCTTTCGAAATTGTTTTTGATAGGGTAGACTTCAACAAGCCAACTACGATGGAGTTTCTAGTCCCTCCTTGTGTGCTTCAATCTCAGAAGAAATATTAAAGGCTGTGAAGGAATTTGGCTTTGACCGTTATAAATATGTGGTATCAGTGCTAATTGTGGAAAAGACAGATCAGGCAATGATTGTAAGCGAACATTATTCATAATACATTTTGCAAATTGAAAACAATAAGGTGCAAACAGATTAGTGAAGTGGTCCAAGTCAATTTTTTTCTCCCAAGGAATATGTTTATTCCAGCCATCAGTTCACAGAGTTTAGGTTTGAAAACAGTTTTGTTGAAAAGCTGAGAGCCCAGTAAATGGTCACAAGACTGGACTAAGCTGGAGGTGGAGGAGTGGGGGATGTGACTTCTTAGTTCGATATGTTCCCAAAACTAATGTCTGTTCACATAGTCATGTTCTACTGCTTTTTAAGGGGTGCTTTTAACAGTATGCTAAAGTGCAACAAGTGAACACAAGAGAGAATTGGAGGTTGGTGTAGAGATTTTTGGATCTATCGGTGGGAGCTCTACTGTGAAGCAAGAACATGTATTTAACATCGAATAGGAATTGTTAATTTTCACTCAACTTTTGCATTGTTGTTACTAGTTGTAACTCTCATAACACGATTAGATTAGCATTTAGATAATGCTGTGTGTTCTTTAAAAAATAAATAGTAAACCTGTGCTGTATATATATTCACAAATAGCTTTTTCTCTTTTTTCCCTTTAGGTTGCCAGCAGATGCCTCTGGGATGTTCAAAGAGACAATTGGGTTTCAGCTAAATGTGAAACTGAAACATTTATTGCGCTGGCTTTGGTAATGGCTTGTTATTACGACTAATACTTTGAAAGCCACAGATGGATTCGTGCATCACAGTACATGGTACATTTGCAAGTTTTCAGAGCATCATTATTTCAGTATTCATTTTTATCCTATTGCTGTTGGCACATTTAAACTGACATACAGTTGAGATAATTTTATTCTTTTTTTTTCTGTTAAGAAAAAAAACCAACCCCCCCAAAAAAAAACTTTGGAACATATGTACATGAGTACATATGGGTTTCATCTGTTTAATGCTCTGCTGTGGAAGTGAAAGCAGCTGGTGTTAAGGGCAAACATTGGAAAATTTTGAATGTTGCTTGTCTGTTGTGTGCCTAGGACTGTTAACGAATGTTTATATGAAATTGCAGGTATCAGTTTTCTTAAAAGCATGTTATTTGTAAAAAAAGACAGTATTCATTTTTTACCTAGTTTATCTATGATCAAATGCCAGTCTGCCTGGAAACTTTTGCAGTCCTAGAAACTTGTGCAAATTTCCAGTCTTGCCTTGAATGAAGTGAAAGTTTAGTCAGTAGGTTGCCCAGGCCTTAAGCTTGGGTCTCGGGTTCAGGTTGGTGGACAGGTACTGCACTTCAGTCTAGGGGCTTGCAGTGGCACTGACGATGAGCTAAGTAACGAGGGTAACTGGCCCATAATAACTGGCAAGGGCAGCAGTGATTGTATTTTGATAAATAAGGCACAGGCAAATCTGTGAAGCGTGTAGACATCAGTTTTTGGACCTGCCGTGTATGGAAATCGAGGGTTGGTGCCTCCTCCATGTCAGTTGTATCGCTGGGAGCTGAGAACAAACGCGGACGGGGCGGCCGTGCTCTTCTCACCTGCCGCTTGGCCCAGCTTGGGTCTGAGCGCGTTTGGAGCCGCCGCGAGGGGCGGTGAGCGGCCCGGGGTGGACGCCCACCCGCGGTGCGGGGGAGCCAGTGTGCGGGGGCGGCGCCGGGCCGGGGCGCGGCCGTGCGCTTTTGTTCGCCGGCGTGGGGGCCGTGCGCGCCCACGGGGCCCGGCTGCGCGCGGGCAGGCGGGTGCGCGCGCCGCCCCGGCCCCCGCGCTGGGGGGACGAGGGTCTTTCCCGGTGGCGAGGAGGGAGGGCTGTGCTTCACCTCTGGCGAGAGCAGGACCGGGAGCGGGGCGCGGCGCTGCCCCGCGCGCAGCCGCCTCGGCACGACCGCGCAGCGGCGGGGAACGGCCGCCCGCGCCCGCCCTCCCTCCTCGCAGGGGCGAGCGCGCTCGTGGCGGCTCCTCCGAGTGCGCCCCCCGCCCCCCGTACCCCCCTCCTGCGGGGGCTGATGGTTCACAAACGTAGCTCGTCCCCGGCTGACGTTCCCGGAGACGGGAGCCTGGCGGCGGAGCGGAGCAGCCCGGCCCTCCTGGGTGCCAGCTCCCGCGCTCAGCGCTGACCACCCCCCCGGGGCGATGCTGCCCCTCCGCCCCGCGCTGCTGCCCAAGCGCTACCGCGGTGGCTCGGCTTCGCGCTCGCGGCCGGGCCGCGCGGCCGCCCGAGCGGCGGCGGCAGGAGCAGGAGGAGGAGGGCGTGGCGGCGGCAGCAGCAGCGGCGGCGGCGGCGGGTGCCCGGCGACGGTCCCGCGCGGCGGCGCCGGTCCGGTCCGGGTGCCGGTCCGGCGGCGCGGGCCGGGGTCGCCGCGGGCTGCCCGGAGGGGGGCGGAGCAGGAGCCGCCGCGTCCGTGCGCGCGCTGGCCGGTAGGGGCCGCTGTCGCCCCCCGCAGGGCGCGGGGGGGCGGGGCCGGCGGGCGCGGCGCGAGGCCCGGTCGCGCGGCGGCGGCGGCGGCGCTGCTCCTGGCCCAGCCGGCGGCGGCCATGGCGGCCGTGCTGTCCCCGCGCCTCTGCGACAGCGACCCCGCCACGCCCGGCGCGCAGTCCCTCAAGGTGAGAGCGGGCGGCGGCGGCCGTGGGGCTGCGGCGCTACAGCCGCCTCGACGGGAGGCCTCGCGCGGCTCCCCCGACTGGGCGCTGAAACCCCCCCTACCCGCCCGCCCCGGGCTCGCCTCACGCCCGCCGGGGGAGCCGGGCGGCCTCCCGCGCCCGAAGTTCGGCTGAGGGCGCGGGTCCGGGGCTGGGTGCCCGGGGCCGCCCTGCTTCCGAAAAGTCCTTCGGCGCCTTTCCGGGGGCGGCGCGGTAGCGCCGCCGCCGGGAAAGTTTGGGTTCGGCCGCGGGCAGTTCCGCGTTGGCCCCGCCGGGCTGCACCGGCGCGTCCCGGGAACCGCGGGCACTTGTGGCGCCGAGTGCTCGCGACGCAGATCGAAACACATCTCGGGTAGTTCAGGCTTCCCAATCGAGTAATAAAGGATCGTTACGTCGATCTTATAATTAATAGACTTACCAGGAGTTCGGAACGTCACCTTTCCTAAGGAAATTTTAGGGGAGGAAGGGGCGTTTTTTTGGCAGCGTTTGACTTGACATGTAAAGAAAGCCACAGAACTATCCCCTTTTTCTTTTTTTTTCTTTTCTTTTTTTTTTAATTGAACAGTAGGAGTCGTTGAACAGCAGCGAGTCTTAGATCGCACTGCCAGTGTTTTCACTTCTGCTAAGTCCTCTGCAACAAACTTACTCATGAGCTTGTGTGATTAAATTTGCTGAAGTTTTATCAAATAAGTAAGCAAAATTGTAAGCGGAGGACATTCATCTCTACTGTGGTATGGGTACTCATTGTTTTAACACTACAAGATTTAATAAAAGAAAAATTACGAAGTGAAAGTAGAAATTGATATGAGGCACTTCCACCAAACTGTCAGGTTGAGATCTATCTTTTAAAGATGTTTTGAAGTCTCTTGGTGGTTTTGGTATAGTAGAGCATTGCTTTGGTCCTGTCTAGCAGTTCAGAAGGTTTGGAGTGCATTAGTATTCTGTGTGGGAAGTAGGGATGAACTGCTGATGAGACATAGCTGTGTCAAAAAATAGCGCAGTATTGTTTTGATTGGGGACTGCTGCTTGGTTTGTCTACCTGAGTTTATACAGCAATGCTAGGAAATGGCGTTACTAGTAATACGAGTGGAGATGCTGCATGCCTAATTCCTTAAGGATGTCTCCATTAAGAAAACAGTTTAATTATATTTTGCTTTCCACTTTTTATTATTGTGTGAAAGATATTCTTCTTGCTCCTTAACAAGAAAGAAAATTTGTGAAGAATTGAGAAAAATGAGAAATAAACCAAAAATACAGGAGACAAATTCTTTTCCCCGATGGCCTGTCTTGATTATAGCATTGTGAAATGTTACATAACCAAAGTAATGTATTCTCATTTGATGGAATATTTCTAAATTGATATTTCAAGTCCTATGATATGTAAAGCCTACTAGAATGAAAGACATTAGCAAACATAAACCTAATAATCATTCTTGGCATTATTAAGTAAGTAAGTGTAATTGGGCTTGATCCATTTATTTCTGACAGGTTAATTCTTCTTGCTTAAACTTTTCATGGAAGTTATAAAATGCGATTCTTTCACGCTGCTCCACTTTAGAGATTCAACTACTTTAAAAAACTGTCTTGTTCTTGACTCTACTACCTTTTACAATAGGCAATTTACTTGGAGTTTTCTGCTTTTTGTATCTCAGTTTTGATCAGACAGGGTTGGTCACTAAATGCTTTGAGAGTTGTTGATGATGCAAGTAGGAGTTGTATAGCATTGTTGGACAACAAAGCAGTGAAAAATTCAAGATCAACTGAGTCACTGGTCTTCTAGATTTTACAGAACTCTGTGTTTTGTTTTGGTCCTTTTTTCTCTTCTTCACCCTTCATTCCCTTTCTTTATATAGATCTCCTGAAATCTGTACACCTGTAACTTAACTTCTGAGCGTTCCCTTGTAATAGCTTTGTTCTATATCTGTTGCAATATGAAGTCGAGTTTTTTCTTTCATTTTTTTTCCTCACAAAACACAAGTCTTTGCTCCTTGCTGTAATCATACTTTTTGTAAACTGTATACCATTCCTTTAATTTTAACTGTATGCCTATAAACGCCTGCATTGCTTTCAATTATATTTTCCCTGATTTTTAAGCATCAGCTCTCAGCAAGGGTTTGGTGTTTTTGTTCTGCACTTGCAGTTTTTGAGAGCTAGTCTGATTAAGTTCCAGAGATAGTTTACATCAGGAATTACTGGCGGTCAGAGCTACAGCTCTGTCTATTCAGTCCACCAGTGCAACAGCTGAGGAACCACCTAACTCTACTTCTGTGCCAGCATGTCTTATGCAGCTGGTTTATAGCAAAGAATAATTTGCTGCATGAGTTGTCCTATGAGTTTTTTGTTAAGAGTACATAGAACAGCTCAGTAGTTCAGGTATATTTAAATTGTGGATTGCTTTGCAATATTTTTTGATGTTTTACACCCTCTGCTGAATACTCTTAATTTTTTAATATTTACCTTCATTTATATTTCAGGATGACACAGAAGAAAATTCCAATGATGGCAGCCAACCATCCAAAAGACGGCGTATGGTCTCAGGGGACAGTTCTCGGAGCTGTGAAACTTCTAGTCAAGACCTTGGGTAATACTATTTTTTACAATTCTCACTTTTTTTATTGCAAGTTTTACTGTATTGTTCAATATGCTTGAGTAAAGCTCTTTTTTCTTTACTTTCATATTCTTCATACATTCTTCTTTCTGAATTGAGGCGATGTTCTATTAATAGCTGGCTGTCTTTTGCTCCCAGCATACTTTAAGGCATTTTATTTTAAAATGCTACAAAAATTGCTGCATCCGATACAAAATCAGAAACATAACTGACATGTTTTTAAAACATTGCATGCTTCTTGAATGAAGCTTTTGACACTGTAGTAGTTTCTTTTCCTGGTGTCCTCTCCACTATAATAGATATCACTTCCTTTATGTTCTGTCTCTTAGCATGCTGATGAATTGTTATTTGGATATTTAAAGTGGTTATTTGATGAATGGTATGTGAAGTTGGGTGTAACAAAGTAACTGGGTGTAACAAAGTGACTTTGAAATGGGTTAACAAGATGAAGTGTTCTGAAGCGCTTGTCCAACTTCATAGTTACTGTTTATTGACATATAAATAAGAATTATTGAATTTTTTTAAATGTAAGTATTACTCTTAAGGATTCTTGTGATTTGTTCTAACGTTGTTCTTATATTTAGATATAGTTATTTTCCTGCTGAAAATTTGATAGAATACAAATGGCCACCAGATGAAACAGGAGAATACTATATGCTACAGGAGCAAGTCAGTGAATATTTGGGTGTAACTTCCTTTAAAAGAAAATATCCAGGTATTTATTTTTAAAGTTTTTCTTCTACAAAATTGTGTCTTTAAACAGATGCAGTCTGTGTCTCTTTGATTATAGCATGAGCCAACTGTTTAAAAAAAGACCTAGCAAAAGCATACTGGATTATATGTGTTGTACTTTTTATTATTGTTACTGGTGTATTGCCAGTGTATCCTATGGTTTTTGAAATAATATAAGATTTTTTGGTATTGCCACTAAAAATTTGTAAAAAAGTCTGATTTGGGGATTATTAGATCAGCAAGTAGCTTTTGAAAATTACCTCAATTTTATTTTTAAGTATTTTGTCGGTCATTTCTTACTATTTAACTATATATTCTGTTTCCTGAATTGTGGCAACTTTCCTACATTGTGGAAGAATTTTAAAACTAATTGTGGAGGTTCTAGTATTTGAGCCTTCATTTTTCAGAATTGTTAAATCTGGAACTTCTATCATAGAATTTATTTTTAAAAGACTGTAGTTTTAATGCTTGTTAATAATTACTGCATCTAAATTCATATCTCATTTTTCTTTAGTTTTCTGTATATCATAACTGCAGGGTACTCAAGAAAATTGACCATGTCCCTACACTGTGTATTAAATTTAAAATTATTTTATAAAACCACAGTATTTGTTGAAGTAGTAGTATAATACAGACTATCTGCCTGGAAACAGAGTTGTCAAAATACTTTGACAGTGTTTATGGAGGAGTCTGAGTAACTGCACACAGTTTTATTGCTCTTTCTTGTTTTCTTTGGAGATTTAGAAAGGCGAGATCTGTCTCACAAGGAGAAACTCTACCTCAGAGAACTAAATGTTATCACAGAGACTCAATGCACACTAGGTAAGAAAACAAATTATTGAGAGTCCTTGTTACAGTATAAAAACTGTGACACACAGAAAAAGAAGGTTCATTTTGGTAGAGGAGAATTGCATCACTCTCAACTGAAAACATAAATTCTGAAATTAAAACTGGTTTATTATTGGTAAATTGGCCATGAAGTATCAATATTCCAGATTTATTATAAAAAAGTATATTTTGGATCTAATTACTTAGAAGAGATTTTGCTAGCTGGTAAGTTAACTTCTAGAACCTTTTTCTCCTAAGAAAGAGATGACCATAATTTTTCAAATAAAAAGTGTATCAGTCTTCTTTTGCTGCATTGGTTGGAGGTCTTAAATGGTCCCACGTCTATATTAGAGACAAGAAGAGTGTATATTAAGGCACTTTAATGTACTTGAAATGGAATGATGTAATTGAGGCTTACATTTAAAGAGCTTGAAGAATGTTTTTCTTACCCTGCTAATATATGTGGTTTGGACACGTTAGAGTTTAAATGATGCCTGCCACATTTTTTTCTGTGTATCATGGGTAAATATGTAAATGTAATGTCATTTTAAATACTAACAATCTTTGCTATACCACCTTTATTTCTCACCTGCCACCTCTGTATTTATTTGACTATACAGATGAGACTATATCTAATTTTTATTAATAGAAGTAAAATGTTATATTCTGTCTCATATATTTATCGATGGGGAGGCATGAACATAATGCTCACAGGCCATTATGGTCGGCAATATGTCAATTTATTATTTAAATCAGTTAACTTCTATACAGTTTAGTTTGTTTAGGGCACATGCTTATAATAAGATGATTGGATACCTCAGTCTGTGCACACGTCTCATGTCCCCAGTTCATTAGACCTGATGTTCTGTCCACGCGATCTGAAATCATCCTTGGCATAGAAACCTCTTTCTAATTAATCTGCTTTTAGGGTTTTACTAAATTTGCAGGTGTTTCATTATCTTCAGTTTCTCAAGGTTTTCTTTCTATAAACATATTATGTTCTCAAACCTTATAATTAGACACACAGCTAACAAGTATAAGCATCACCTATTTTCACACAGTCTATAAGTGTAAACAATACACGCTTGTCACTTCCATGGCAAGCAAGGCCTACAGAGGGCAGGAAAAATTGTTTACAGAAATCTCTCTGTTCTGGCAACATATATTCAACAGAGATGTGTGCTGAGTCAACTATCCTTATTTTTAAGGTTATATTTATAACCGGTGATAGTGACATAAGTCATTCCATTCCATTGTCTGTGTTTGGAGATTAGTTGTATTGGAACTTCTAAAAGAAGAGTTCTGCGTTGTGGCTGCAAACTGAGGAGTTCTGACTTATGAACTTCAGATGCTTTAGTTGGGAGTCAGGAGTCAGTTTGCTGCTGTGAATTGCCCTCATGGTGATTCTTTCTTGATTTGTATGAGACGTTATGTAAACCTCGTAGTTTCAGTAAAGGTTCTGCAGGTTGATTTGATCAGTGTTGGAAACTGAAACTAACAGTTTACTAGGTCCCATCTAGAACAAAGGTTCTGTCTCACTGTGGAGTTCTAAGTAGGTGGTTAAGTCAATCTGAAGGGGTCTGTAGCTGTAAGGAAGAAATGACATGAACCTTGGCTCATTGGGTACAGGCAAAGTAGGTTGTTGTCTTTAGCTGCTCAAAAACTTGAGTTGGTTATTGTGGGATATAAATAACCTACAGTTGCTTTTGCCAGACAGCATCATTATTGCTTTTATCTATTTTAGGTCTAACAGCTTTGCGTAGTGATGAAGTAATTGATCTTATGATTAAGGAATACCCTGCCAAACATGCTGAGTATTCTGTTATACTGCAAGAGAAAGAACGTCAGCGAATAACAGATCATTATAAAGAGTACTCTGTAAGTAATTAGCATATAAGTGAACCGCATCTGTAACACTGAGGGTGAGAAAAGGCTGTTCTCAAACTGATAGTGAAATGTATGCGGATTAATAAAATTGTTTTTATTCCAGCAAATGCAGCAGCAGAACACACAGAAAGTAGAAGCCAGTAAAGTTCCAGAATACATTAAAAAAGCTGCCAAGAAAGCTGCGGAATTCAACAGCAATTTAAACCGAGAGCGGATGGAAGAAAGAAGAGCCTATTTTGATTTACAGACTCATGTAGGCAGATTTAAATTTCTTACCAATGTTAACAGGTAGCTCCTTACTTGTTTTAGTAAAGTTGGTTTTCGTACCATTTTAACTTCTATCAAGGTTTTTCATTATTGTTTCAGTCATGTAGAGACTTACACAGTTTTACTCTTAAATGGGTAATAGTGCTAAAAATAATCTCAAATATATTTAATCTGAAGACGTTTTTAATTTGAAAATACTTGTCTGAGGAAGCTCTAAAAATATCAGTGTTATTTTATTATTATGTCTTTAATCTGATGGTAGAAGAATAAAACTAAGAGGGTTGTTTAGGTTACTAAGAAGCTTCTGTTGCTATTATATCTATGCATATAAATGGCTAATTCTTCTTTGGAATACCTCCAAAATTTTGCCAGAACAATACCTGAAGTAAAAAAGAAAACTATTTATTCTTTGAAAGAGTGTTACTGTCAGTGTTATGCCCTTTTTTTCATTAGATGTTACATTATTTTTGTATTGCATATATTATATGCCTCTGTGACTGATTAAAAAAAATTAGCTGGCATTTTGAAGCAGTACTGTTCTGCTTCTATACAGGCAGCAAAAATTTTCTCTGCAAATTATTACATGGCAGGCTATTGTGGAAATTTTACATCTTTCTGGTATTGACCCATGTTAGAGGCAAGATAGTGGATAATTAATTTTATTTCCTTCTGAGGGAAGGAAGGCTTCTACGTACGCTTCTCCTTTCCTTGTATTTGTATTATTAATGGAACTTTTTATACTGCAGTCTGGTTTCAGACTTAAATGGATGTGTTCTTTCAAACAGTATGGGCCAACAGTGATAATTCATGCTAAGGATGCCACACACAAAAGTTAATGTTTACTGTTTCAATTGCTAGATTTTAATATTAAAATTATTTTTCCTAATACACTCTTTGAAGTAGTCTTACGTAATGTTCATTCAGTTCACTAGATACTTAGGGATTGGATTTAATAAATAATAGTGTTTTGTGACCTCTTCTGTTTTAATGAATTGAATTTCTCGTGGAAGAGCTCAGGTAGCTCTCCCAGTTCAATAAAATTGACTAGTTAAGAAATATTTGGGGGAATAGTTGGTGAGAAAGACTCAACAGTTTGTATGTGAAACAAAAATGTCATTGTTTTATATTAAACAATGCAGATTATCCAGGTGCCTCAAGGAAAATACAAAATCTTACCTACAGAGAGAACAAAGGTTAGTCCTTATCCAGTGGCTCTCATACCCGGCCAGTTCCAGGAGTACTACAAAAGGTATTTTAAAAGCATACCAACTACCAATTCTCTTGCACTTATCTCTTTTCTCTACATGTAGCAGGATGGAAAACATTTCAGTGTCTTTACCGTAAGGTTTTGATTTAATTTTATGTTTGAGACACTTGCTAATCTTGGAAGATGCATAGTGTGACATTTTCTGTTAACAGCAGTCAGTAATGACTGCAAGAGTACTGTCTACCCTGATGTATTGCAGTGCCTAAGATTTGTCCAGCTCAAATATTTACCATGGTAAAAGGAGACATTGATTTCACTCCTGCCACCCTCACAATATTTACTTATCATCTGCTTCTGCATCTGTACCAAGATTAATATTTCTGTGTCAAAGTGTTGTAGTGCTGGCTTGTGATCACATATTTTCTGTGTGACAGTCTTGCTGTCCTTTTTTAAATTTTTAGAAACCCTTAAATTTAAAAAAACATGTTGATTGGTCTTGTGGGATAAATTTGATGTTGGATTTGTGAGAAAGAAAGACATTGCAAGCTGGATCTTTACATTTCATGAAAAATGTGTCCTTGACGGTTTACATAAATTTAAGATATTACTAGTGGCATGCTACCATTGAACAGATACGTACTGATTTGAAGATTTTGTCGAAGTCTTACCATTGTACAACAGAGATGGTATTCATTCTGTACATGCTTGGTTTTTTTTAGAGAAGCTCTTCATCTGCAAGTGCCTTGCTTGTTCCAGTGTGTGTTCATACAGCCCACCCCAAATTTGCATGCTACAGGACATTATTGAAGGACTTCAACTTTATTATACTAATTGAATTAAAATTACTCTATATCATGTTTATTTTCCACTTTTAAGCTGCAAGTGAAACTGCTTATCCATCTCAGTGAAAGACACAACCTTTCAAAATGTACATCAGAATAGTATCCTATTTCTTACAATGCTTGTCATCAGCAGTAAGACGACTTTCACTTTTTTCTTAGTCTTTAAAAAGAAAAAGGGTAGAGTATGGATGTTAAGCTGTATCTGGCTATAAGCAATGTGATTAGATCTTCGCATTCTTCTGAAATTATATTTTTATATATATTTTTCCATTCTCCTTCAATAATTAAGGAATTCAGATGTACAGCTGTGTTCTTTCCTTATCTTTGGATGTATTTGTGTGCCCTGGGTTAAAACTCTACACATGCTATGTGGGCACTGTACATTTATAAACAAAATGTATGGTCTGTTGGGCATAGTAGCGTGGGTTGGTTAAAAATTCGTAGTGGTTCCGTGGTCCCTTTCACAGTTATGGAACATTGCAAATACACTCTCCTGTGTTCTCTGAATATCTGCTCTACAAAGAAGACAAGTACTAGATGGTATCACATTTGGGAGGACAAATGAGTATGTTTCCTGTGTTTTCAGAACTTCACATCTTTATGTGCCTTCCTGAAAAAAAAGAAGTGTTTCTTACTCTTTCTTATTGACATTCTGGTATACTGCATGATTTAATATTTTTGCATCAAGTACACGTGAATTAATTAATTTTATTTATTTAACTTTAGATACTCTCCAGATGAACTTCGTTACTTGCCATTAAACACAGCTCTGTACGAACCTCCTTTGGATCCAGAGCTGCCTGCATTGGACAGTGATGGAGACTCAGATGATGCAGAGGAAGGGCGAGGTGATGAAAAACGGAAAACCAAAGGCAATTCGGTGAGATAAGCTGAAAGTATTCTTGAACAAAATAATACTTTCCCTTCACTTTTGTTAGTTTCACTAGTTTCTTAGTAGAACCTTTCAACATTTCCAAAATGAAAGGAGGACCATTTTGGTATTTTAATTTATCACACTGCTCTCCAACTTTCCACTTTGATCCATTTTTAAAGTAAGTGGAACAAATACTTGAAATTTCAGGCCCTTTCTTCAAATTTTTTTATTTTTTTTTAAGAAATCTTGAAGAAACTTCCCAATGCAGCTCTTCATTGTGCCCTTTCCCCAAGGGGAAGTTGTTGCTAGCATTTCTGAAGAGAATGAACACTGTAGTTCAGGTCACAGTATATTCTGCTGTTTAGAGTCCCACGGAATCTGTCCCTAAAGCAGAGGTGTTTATAATCTCATAACTTTTTGTGACATAGGAGCAGGAAGTACTCAGTACAGAAACAATGACCTTATTTCAATTTAAAAAGAGGGTAAAAAGTGCTGGGTTTTTTGCTTAACAATACATTTTTAAACAGATATTTATGTTCTCTCTACTTACGCAAATGCAAAATTAAGTGTTAGCTGAAAGTTAAGGAAAACTTCCACATACCTACCTTGATAGAGTTTTAAATGCTCGAGAGCAGCTGAGCTTCAAATGAGTTGAGTGCAACTGAACCATTGGTGTATTGGCGTAGTTTGTGTGTTGGTGACAACCACTTTCCAGAGGTTTAACCCTAATTTTAACAGCAATGGAATGTCACAGGTGCATTTACCAGTTTCTAGCTTGATTGATGAACATGTTTGATGGTGGGTATGTATAATTCTAAGTTTTGCCATGTAAATATTTATTTTGTTTGAATTTTGTAAAGATACTCATAACTAAAGAAGAAAGGAAGAGGTCAGCTTGTAGATTAACAGAGGAGAGAGGGCTATTAATACACTGCTTCTGCTTGCATTTTTTGTAGAAGAAATTATATAAACTTAGCATGTTAAATGTCACCTCAAAATTTTGGTTTAATCACACTCCAGCTGTTTTAAAGTTGGTCTTTAACCATTTTTTCCCAGTTTCCATTTCCACTGACAGTCATTCGTGTTAATGGTAAAGAAAAGTAACTGGGCCAAGCAGACTATCCTTTGATTTTTCATAGAAGTTCAGAAGTCTTTTTTAGTGACAGAATGGAGAAGGAAAAATGTCCTTTAGTTTGAAAAGTGTAGAAAAATGTGCAAAATTTATAATCAGATTCCTGTGAAATGGGTTTGGCTGTGGAAGCAGGGGTTCTTTGCTAGTCATTGAGGATGGGCATATAGTTCAGGAAAAACATCTGTTGAACACGGAGGTGGCTTTTGTCAGGCCTCTAAGTTTTGGGCTACCTACCATCTGTCAGATCTCCCTGGTGAGTCCTACACTAGGCTTTATACTTTTTCCTTTTTCACCTTCCCCATTGTTTGAAGTTGGTAGCAGTTTTCCTTTTCTGTAGTGTTTTAATGGGTCTGTCCTAAATAACCCTTCCCCTAAAATAGTGGTGAAACAGAGCATTTCTTGTTGCCACATAGTTTGATTGGCTTTGGTGTTATACCCCTCCATTTGCCCTATGTCTGTTTTGGTTTTAGGCTGATTACTATTATGTTTGTACAGAGCATGTTTTACTGTAGGGCACCATTGTTATTTGGCCTCTTGGGTTTTATTGTAATAAATGTGAATAATCATGCTGCTTCCTTCTGGAGCTTTTTTGGAAGCCTTTATTAACACTTTTCTGAGAAAAGTCTTGTGCTGCTGCTCTTTATTATGCTTACATTGATCTCTCACCCTCTTTGAAACTCTTCTCCTCTTTCTTGCCTCCTCATTCCTCAAAAAAAAAACCTTTAACTGCAACGTAAATCCTGTTGTTTGGTTCTGTATTAAATATGGAAATGTGTTTTGCTCTCGATGGCATTCTTCTGCTGCAGTCCAAATTAAATATTTAGATTGCTCCTGGTGAAAATAGTAGATGAGGGTGGCAGAATAAAAACCTTCACATATTAAATTCAAGGCAGTGCTGTTTGGTAGTACACTTTAAATGCATGACAAGGGCACTTTTAACTTTTTGCTGGCCCTTTACTTTGTAAACAGCATCTTGCATATAATGGATTTCTTGCTGACTTAATGGAAAATGGTTCAAAGAATTACACTGTTGTGCTCTCCACACTGGTGCCAAGACCAACTGGAAAACAGGACTGCTGTTGCTGATGCCAATCTCTTAGCATGAGAAAAAATAGATAATGAATGTTGTGAGCAAAGGTGTTCTAGATTGTGATAAACCCTATGCTTTTGCAGAAGGAATGATGTACCCTTCTCTTACCTTAGTTGGCTCTAAGGGGCATACAAAAGACTTGTCTGTCTATCCAAAAAATAAAAAAATATAGCTATGGTATTTTTATTATAGGACAATTCGTCTGGCAATGTATCTGAAGGTGATTGCGCCACAGACAACCAGGAGGATTCTTTTCAGGGAAGACAAAAAACAAGAGACAAAAGTGCTACTCCAAGAAAAGATGGTTCCAAACGTTCTGTATTACCCAAATCAGTTCCTGGGTACAAGGTAGAAGAAAAAAGCCCCTGACTGAACTTTACTCACCAACCTCTCCCTGAAGTGTTTGGTTTTTTCAATAATATGGAACTTCTGCTTGCTGTACTTCACTCGCTGTTCTCCTGTTGTGTGCTCCATCTGTTCGCTTCCTTATTTCCTTTTTGCTTGTATTTCATGTGGGGCTTTCTGTTACCCTGACTGTACAGTGGCCTCTCTTTTCTGTTAACTTCTTGGATTCCTAGGCAGTAACACTAGAAAAACCCATTGTGGATTTCGCATTGGAAATCTACGTCTTTCTGTCTGCCTTAACACAGCAGTCAAAAGTATGTGTCAGTTTAAAACTATCATTCACTATCCGTTTTTTTTCCCTACTGTTTAGTTAGCAGTGCACCAAGAGACCAGTGCTGTAAAGTGCAGCTGTATGGCTGAACATATTGTTGTGACATTCATTTTAAATATAGCCTTTTATCCTGCGATGTTACAATGTATAACATGGAAGGCAAAAAGCTTACTACAGTCGTATAGGCAACACTACATAACCACTTTAACAGTATATGGAAAATAGCTTTTTATGTAGTTTTTACTACGTAGAAACATTTGTGGGCAATATACTTTTATCTAAGCTAAAAACTTTGTGAGGATGTTAAGACATTTCAGCTGTCAAGCAGTGATTGCCGAACCTAAGACCCAAATCCCCAGTATTCCTGTGTAATAATTTCAGAAATTAAGATAAAAATAAGATTAAGGTAAAAATAAGATTAACATTAAAATAAAAATACTTTTCAGGAGAAATGGGAATTGACATGCATTATTTATATGTTATTATTCTGCATACTGAGACAGGATCTGAATAATCCTGTAACACTTTCAAAGCACATAATTATCTAGTCCTCTTCCACTGAGAGAAATAAGAATTTTCCACTGACTTATGTGGGAGCAGGAATAGACCCATAGAGAGGGAATACACTACGTTAAGATAGGGTTGATTATTTAACAGTCAGGAATACTTGTTGAGACTTACAGGACAAGGAACACTTTTGTCAGTGACAAGTTTGTACCTGCGGAGACACAGTCTCAGCAAAAGTGAGCTGTTGATGGCTTGCATTTTATATTTATAAATATTTACTATCTGTATTTACCAAGTTAATAGTAAATAAACTATAACTTACATCAAGAAGCTAATTTCCAGCAAGAATTGGACAGCTTTGATAAATTTTCTCTACATACACTATCTCTACAAGTTCATAGCAGACAGCAAGCTCCAGTTGCATTTTCTCTTTTCAGGAACTTACTAAGAAATATGTGAACTATGGAGATTTAGACTGTGATTACCATATGTATATTTTTTTATATGTAACTTTGCAAGATGTTGGAGACACGGAATGCATATTCATATTCCCATGAACATGAAATCCAAAGATGAAACCTGAAATTTTGCTTTAGCTTTGTTTAACTTGACATGCCACTGTTTTACAGAAGTTTCATCTAGCTGTGAGATGCTCAAGTGTTTAATTAGTCCAGTCTATTTAATGGCCTTATGAATGCATAAAGAGAGAATTAATGGAGCAGAACTTTCATCAAAGTTCTGAACTTCTAATTGCAGAAGAGCAATAGTAGTATACAGCATTGCATTTTGAAAATGGATTCATGTAACAATTATTTATTGATTCAAAATCACCCATTCTGTTAGTAACAAGGTCTTGCTGTAAACTTACAGTGCCAGATCTTTGCAATGTCAGCATACCCTGCCTGCATCAGCCATCTGATAAGTCAGAGGTGGTGATGTTGTGTTGGAAGGGTGAGAGGATTGGCTTTCTTTTTTGTGGGAATGTTTGAAAGCTTGCGATAAGCCAAATTACATGAGCTGTTTTAACTGGTAAGACAGAATGATTCTTGTTTGTGAGTCTATAAAAATACCAGATAACTGTATACCTACCGTATGTGCCTAAATGTTAAGGCACTTTGAGCTGAAGGCTTAACTAATTTAAAATGTTTTCCCTGTGAATTCTAAGTCTTTATAATACTTTTGTTCTGTATTGTTCTCTAATATTGGACTATTTTTGTAGAACAGTTAATTTTTTGGTTACATGTAGTTAAAATTGAAGGATAATTGCTATGGCATCAGCATACATATGTATAATTAATAGCCACATTATTAATATTACAGGATTCCATACATTTCCACTGAGTTATTTTTGAGTAAAAAAATATCATATTTTATATGGCGTCTTTTTTATTGTCAGTTCTTTAACAAAGAACAATTAGCATGTGTTTTACATTTTGTCATGTTACAAGTAGCGAGTCTTTGTTGCTGCAGGACTGACTACTACAATTGCACACACAGGGTACTGTTAAAAGTACAGATTTTTTGCACATAAAACTGAAATGTATTGAGAATCTATATTTTGCAACACTTCCTGTTTTGGGTCACTGCATATGAAAATGTAATGCTTTGCATTCAGAATAGCATGTTATAAGAATGGTGTAGTTGGAAAGCTGACTTTGAGAGCTGCAGCACAGCAGTGTGGAAGTGAAAACTTACAGAACAGGCAGTCATTGTTTTGACCTTGCATTCATTTTCTCTCCCATCCTTATCCCAATAAGATAAGGGCATAGAAAGCAAAATTTACTCCTAATGAAATGGGATATTGTGACTTCCCATTTAGGTTTGACAGATGTTTTTTATAGCATTTCTAAAAGCCATTTATGGTGGTAGAATTGAGCTGGTTTGAAATATAAATAGTCTTTTTTTTTTTTTTTGTAAATATACTTCCATACTGTTGGAACTTCATTATTACTAGGCTGTGATTTTCATGCCCCCTAACATGCACAGTATCTAATGAATACAATTTAGTGAAGTAAGACTAGATGGAAGCATTGTTAATAAATGCATCTACATCAATGTCTATCTTGAGAGTTACGTGTATCAGAGTGTGAACTGCACATACCCTAACACAGGTAGTGCTCACTTTAGTTTGCCTGGAGAACCAAGGGAGTGTGCTGTTGTATATTAAAGGCAGTAAAATACAAATCTAGAAAAATACAAAGCTAGAAGTCTGATTAGAACTTGCTATTCTAGAAAGGCTTGGTTGTCCTAGAAATAGATTGAAACACAATTAAAAAAAAATAGAATATAGCCTAAACAATAGAAGGGTAAATGCTGCCACGCTGATGAGGTTTAAGCATGTGCCACTTTTGTTGGGAGGAGCAGGGTATAAAGGTATATATGTAGGACACATAGTATAGTTAACAGTAAAAGAGTTTGTATGTGTTTTTGCCTCCATTATATTTATTATTTTGTAGAGATGTTTGTGAATGTTAGACTTCTTTTATTGTTTTATTATATTTATGTATAAAACAGGTTGACTTTGCTTTTTTAAAATAAATAAGCAAAAAAAAGTGTCTATGAATGCCTCTGTCATCTTTTGAAGGAAGTTACCTATTAACATCTGGTGTGGTAGTTTGCTTTTTTGAATAAAACTCTTTAGATCAGACAATTTGAAGTAGGCTGCAGCCATGTTTTGACATAAAAATCAGATTGAAAACTTCAGAAAACTTGAAGCATTGTATCCTGACTAAGAGTGAGTCAAGATTTTAATTATCTCACTAGGTGCCAGGAAAAACTGGCTTGAGAAATAAACACATTTTGAGATAAGTTGTATTGCAAAAGATCTCAGTAATTATTTTTAAATATATATATATTTGTGTTTTCACTTTTTAAATTTACTTTAAACCGCATTCTTCTCCCGATGTGTGTTTGGTAGTTGACTGGGATCCTTCTTGCTTACTGACAAGCTGTTTAGAAGAGGATATGCCTTCAGCTCTCTCTACTAGCTGTGCCTACGCAGCACCATTGTTTTTAAAACAATGGCATTAGTCAGTTTAACATCAGTGAGCACTGCATTAAGTGTAAACTACATTTGTCACTAATGTTGTTATGCAGTGGTCAAAGCTCAACAACACAACTGCTGCCATGTTTCTGAAATTTGGAATGCCGTACTTCTTCCTCAGTGAGGTAAAACTGTTGGTGTATCCCTGGAGTTGGGACACAGAATAGACACATATAGACAAATGTTCCCCATTGTAACAGCCTGCTATTTCTCTTACCCTTTAAATGGATCTCATGGACCCAGACACATTCCACATGATCACTTAGAAAAATTATGCATGTAAATCTGTAGTTAAATGCAAGGCTCTGTTTCTTATAGTGATTATGAGTGGATACAAGAAGGAATAGTAAAAGAGAGAGCTCTGTGTGGCATAGCTAACCAGATAATTTGAAGCTAGATAGAAAAAAATCAAGTTTATTGCTTTTGTAATTAATTTTCTCTATTTAGGGACAAATGTAATGCAAGTAAATTGTATTTAATTTCCTCCATAAACAGGAAATCCACATGGTAGTTCATAATGTAGCATTCTATATTGGAAAAAACTTAGTGAAATTTTTCATCCTGTCATGTTTAGTTTAGGAGCATGTCAGCTGATGAATTCATGGGAAGAAGCAAGTACATGATTTTGATACAGTTTGATTTATATATAACTCACTATGTATGACAAATGGAAAATTTTATGTACTTAATCTATGATTTTTTTTTTCAGTGCCGCTGCTTGTCAGTTATTGTCACGTGTTTTAAGGTTCACACATCCTAACAGTTTATTAATTTTAATAGTTAAGGAGATAGATGACATTTCCTGTTGAATCTGTAAATTCTTCTGGAATAAATTTATAGCCCTCTTCTACCCTTCCAGCCAAAGGTCATTCCAAATGCTATATGTGGAATTTGTCTGAAGGGTAAGGACTCCAACAAGAAAGGAAAAGCTGAAGCTCTTATACATTGCTCCCAGTGTGACAACAGTGGTAAGTATCTGCATACACTCAGTGGATTCCTAAGGGAGTTTGTTGGACAGATCTTTTTGTGGACATATTGAGTGTCCTACACATGTGCAGCAACAGTTCAGTTGCCTTTTCTGTCCCTCATTAAGACTCCATCTCTCTTCCATGTTGTATGTACTAGCACACTGTGGGATCTCACCAGGAGGTGAGCTAAGCTTCAGCTTCGGTAAAAGCAAAGAGTGTAACTAATTTTAAATTTCATTTCAGACATCAAAGTAATAATACTGGTTTTAATCTAGGCCACCCTTCTTGCCTTGATATGACCCCGGAGCTTGTTGCTATGATTAAGACTTATCCTTGGCAATGTATGGAGTGTAAAACGTGCATTATATGTGGGCAGCCTCACCATGAAGAAGAAATGATGTTCTGTGACGTATGTGACCGTGGTTATCACACTTTTTGTGTGGGGCTTGATGCTATCCCTTCAGGTAATAAAGTAAGAGTTACTTGTTCCCTTCACACCTCCTCTGAGTCCTGGGCGCTCTCTCTCAGCATTAATCCATGCACTGCTTTTGAAAGAATAGTTTAAAACAAGTGTGAAGGGTAGCAGTAAGAAATACTGTAGGAAAGCATTCATACTGTAGGACCTGATTTTTTTAATATGCTTTATTTCTGTATATTTGGTTGTGCACAGTTTAACCTGGCAATTCCTGTATAGGAAGTATAATGGGCTTTTGCAACATAAACCAAACAGGCTCACTCAGAACTATTTTTTTTCCATATCCATAGAACACTGAGGGTAATTACCTCTTTTAATGAAAGAAACTTGTAAAAGAGACTGTATTGCTGCATATTGCTAGTGCGTAGCTTTCACATTAATTGTTGGTGCAGCTGTTTCAGCTTCTAAATTCAAAAGTAGTTTCAATATTTGTAAACACCTCTTTAAACCCTTTCCTTCCCTTTTTTACGTAAACATCAAAGCTCTAACTGAAGTACCTCTATGGCAGGCAGGCAGCCTGTACCTTTAAATTACCCAGTCACTCATATCATCTGGCTAACTCAAGGCTGTAGAAAGAAAATAACAGGTGCTATTGTTGCTTTACATGTAATACTAAATCCATGGTAAGTAAGTTTATGAATAAGTATTCTGTGGCAGTGACAGTATGCCCTGTACAGTACTTCAAAAATGCTGTACAGTCCCATTTAGGGAAGCACTGGTGCTAGCTGTCACTTTAGTACAGGTTCTGTGGTTGATTTCACTTTCAGGCTGACTTAAGAATGTAAACAAAATAAATCATATGTCTAAAATCCTATAAAATTACCAAGGCAGCCTTTATGATTCCAGCTGTTGTAATATAAACAGTTAAATGCCTCCCCAACTGCCATTCATTTCTGCTCTGGTTAACTTCCCATAACCTTGAACTATAGTCATTCACCTGAAAATATAACTGGCAACCTTGAGCATTGTTTGTCAAGTCTTATCTAATAACCACCTCCTTAGCAGTGCTGACACTTCTTGAGGTCCATAAGGATTTGTGTAGCCAGTGGTTACATGTAAGGGGTCTGCAAGGGAGCATGAATTGTATATGCTGCTTTATAGAAAAGATGCTTAATTTTAAAGAAACGCACTGGTTTTTTGCATTAAAGGAAGTACTGCAAATAGATAAGCACCTATTAGAATAATGAAAGGTGCATAATTAGATGAGTAACAAACTTAGTTTCCCAATAATTGATAACTTTCTTTTCTTAGGTCGCTGGATTTGTGATTGCTGTCAAAAAGACCCTCCTGTACCCAGAAGAGGAGGAAGAAGGGGGAAAAACAGCAAAGAGGGCTAAAAAAAACCAAAAAACTTGCTCTCCAAAACTTAAATGCACAAATTAAAGTGATACTTCGGTGCTATTTAATCAACCACTCTTAGAGGAACAATACCACTTTTTTTTTTCTTTTTACCAAATAAACTTTTAAATTTGTCTATATAATTATTTCTTTATGATACATGTCACTAATCATGTCCTGTCAGATGTTGAGATAGACAAACCAAATTTCCACTCTGAAAGAGAAGTCTTTCAGTAATGAAATTCAAATTGTACATCCACTACTTGTATAAAATTATAGTAATGTACTTGTTTATTTTAGTGCACTCATCAGTAAGCTCCATGAAAAGAAAACTACAGAGCATTTTAAATATACTCTACTTGCATAGCAACTGGTTATTTTGAAAGACTCAACCAAAGAAAAAATATTCCTGGGAAAAGTAACTTTAGAGGAAGAGTGGGTATGACATGACCTTCTTACAGTGTACTGCAAATTCCTTTCAGCAGAAATTTTCTTTGCAAGCTAATGACTTATGCATAAAGATGTGCTAAAAAAAAGAGATCAATCAAAAAAGCTATAAAGGGAAGTGTAAGAAAGCACCCCTCAAGTTCGAGATACTATATGCTGTGTTGTTTTTAATGAGACATGGAAATGTCATACTGACAAGTAACAACAGCTGAAGGCTCCCTCTCACTACAGTAACAGCAAAGAAGCAACATGCACTTCATTCAGGTCATGGATTTGCAGTGGCGATGAGTGACTGGATAGATCTCTGCTTGACAGATGGCTGACGTGATGCAGAGCACACACAGCCAAAATACAGACCACCTATCCCCTTAGGTGATTGTTTTCTCCTTCCTTTGCCCTAGGCTCCTCAACTTGATGAATACACTCAAACCCATTTCTAGTTAGTTTTAGTAGAGATACTTGCTTGAAAAGCAGCAGGTTTTATTTTTAAATATGCTCTAAATTGAGGATATTTGGGGGGGACTGAAGTGCAGGAGTTTATTTCATTTTTCTTTATAAAAAACAATAGAAAATACTGAATTGGAGTTGATCTTTCTAAGCACCTATTTAAAAGTGAAGTTAACAAGATCCCAACTATACATTCATTTTTAAGCCCTGATCTCTGAAGAGCACTGTAAATACTGTGCTTGCTGCTCATTTTACATATAGGGGAGGATTTACAATATAAAATTAAATATGGCTTTTTCTCCCCGCCTCCTTTCTGGTTTAGGAAATGTAACCTGAATACCTCTTCAGGAAACATGACAAAGAGTATTAAATATTACAGCATGTCATTGATACTCAATTTCACAGGCTGAAGTGTGACTTAGTCCAGTGTGTATCAATTTAAAAAAGAATTTCAAGTATTAATTTCAAGATTCCAATAAGTATAGTCCAGAAAACAGACTCCTCATCCTGAGATTCATCTTCTGTAGACTGTGAGTATTTCTGGTTTGCCTCCATCTCCTCAGGGTTATAAGAAGCCTCACCAAATGGGTACTGTACAACTGTTCGATCGTAGTACACTTTCATTTCAAACTCGCTCTCCAGGTGAGAGGGATGGCCGTAAATCCCTATTCCCACAGGGCGGCGGAAGTGTGCAGGCACGTGGACCATGTCTTGGCCACAGGTTACAGACTGTAACTCGTACTCGTCAAAGCTGGGGTGCAGTGTCACATCAGATACATACAAGTCCGCGTCACCTTTTAAACTTCGCATCTGAAGGACTATCTTTCCCTCGTGATTTAGTCTCAAATAGCTGTAGTTTCCAGCTCCAATCTGACCTTGAACAACATGAAGAAGAATCCATTCCTCAGGTACATCCTCTTCCTCAAAGGCATTTACAAGTAGTACTTGAGCTGTCACACATATTATCAGGACTTTTCTCCAGTGTGCTGCCATGTTGTCTTGGACTCCAAGTTGTACTTGGACTCTTCCTGTGTCCCGTTTGCTACCTTGTGAATACAAAACACAAATCAGATTTTAGTATATTCCCTTCTTGGCAGGAATTGATTTTTTTTTAATGTTGGATTTTTATAAATCCTCTCTAGCCCATACCAAGTTAAACAACTTCAATTAAGTGTGTTCATTAACTTTTATTTTTTAATAGTAACAAAAACTAGTGGTAAGATTCAGAGTTCTTAATCAGATTGAAAATGGCCTGAATTCCGTAAAGTTAAACAGAAATTAATCAAGCCAGTGCTCTTTCATACAGAACTGACACAGAGACTTTAGTTTCATTCTACCTGCATACCTGACAAATCTGACAGGTAACCAGAAGAGATGAAACCCAATAATTATTTTAACTTCAGTTTAAAAAAAACTAAAACAAAACAGTTAAAAAAAGGAAGGCTTTTACATGCTTGGAGAAGCTTAACTTTTTATGAGGTATTTAGGACATCCTATTTGTTTCTTCCATCCTCTCACCTCAACTTCAAAAGACAGTAAAGGTGTAAATCTGGATGTGCACATGAAGCAGTAGGCATTCTGACTTGCACTGGGAATGGAGTTAGAAAGAAAAACATTATCTAATGAGGTAATACATTAATTTATGATTCTGCTGTGTGGCTTGTTTCCAGGGCCAAATTCAGCTTACTGTCCCTGAAAAAAATGCATTTACTTTCAAGATTTTGTTACCCTATAAACACTCAGCCCTTTACAGCACTTGCTTACAGAAGAGAAGGCTGAAAGTACTGGGGCAAGGGGAAGATGGAAATGACTGCTGCAAGATCAAGGCTCCTATACCCTTTTCCCTCCTTGTTGCACAGTCCCAGTTGGGCTGCCTGAGTGTGCCTGCCACACTGCAGTCCTCTGAACAGCTGTGGTCAGTCTGTGCATGCAAAGAAGCAACCTCCCTTCCAAAGAATATAGCTGACTGAATCTGGCGTGCAAATCACAGGAACCACAATCCTACACACGTTCAAGTTTAAGAGCAAGATTCTCATCCCCTCATTCCTTCCATAAGGACACTACAAATATCTTAAACGTGAAAGCTGCCTGTAAGTTGCTTTGTACCCTGCTAGCATCTAAACAAACTCCATTACTTCCACTGAGATGTCACTTAAACCTTAGAGGTCTTACAATTAAACAGATCTACAGGGAAAAAAATGTACAACTATTTCTGTAGTTCCAAGTTTTCTGCCCCAGAGGCCTCTCTACTGCAAAGCCACAATTCTGCAAAGCCAGCACAAAAGACAGAGGCGCAGCATTCGCAGAACCTGCCAGACTGACAAAACTCACTCAACAGCGACAGGAAAGGACAGTCTTTTGTCTCCCCGTATCAGGGAGCTTACTCTCTACCACTTTTACATCAAAGTAGCGATGAAATATCTGAGCGGAGGCACAGGAGGACCTCCACATCTGAGCAGAAAATAATTAAAGTTATCTAGGGACGAACGAAAGCGTCCTGGCGCTGGCGCAGCGCTCGGGAGGAGTGGCGATTCCAGGAGACCTTGGACAGAGCCAGGAACGAGCACCTCTGCCCGCTCCGGCTCGCCCCCGCCTCCCCGCGGGCGGGACACCTTCCGGGGGCAGTGGCGGCTCCGGGGGGCGCGGGGCGGCCCCGGCGGTGGTCTCGGCGTCACCCCGCCGGCCAGGGGCTTGGGCACGGCTCACCTCCGACCTGCCGCGGGGCTCCGGCGACGGCGAGGCCGCGGCCAAGGCGAGGAAGAGCAGCGAGGGCTCCGGGGACGTGCGGCAGCGAAGCGCGGCCGGGGCGCCGCGGGGAAGCCCCTCCCCGGGGCGGGGGCCCGCCCCTGGGCAGCGCGGCGGACGGGAGGAGGCTGGCGCTGAGGAGCCGGCGGGCAGGGCGGGACGCCGCGCCCCCTTGCGCGCTCCGGGGGCCGCTCGGGTGCGCCCCGGCGAGCGCGGCCCGGGGCAGCGGGCAGGGGTCGCTGGGGGCAGGTGGAGCCTCCGCGCCGTCCCCCGATCGCCGCCAGTACCGCCGGCGATCCCGGCCCGCCTCGGGCACCGGCCGCCGCCCTGCTATCGCGAGAGCTGGCGGTGGGGCGGGGCCACGCGGGGCTCCTGAATGAAGGGCCGGGGCGGGCAGGGAGACAGCGCCGGTGTCCGAATGCGGGCGGTGTGCTGCGCCACGCTCAGCGGTCTTCACAATGAAAGCCTAAAATTGGAGAAATTAACTTAATTTAATTAAATTAACTTAAGCTGCACTGAAATGTGCAACGTAATGTGCTTGCCGGGGCATGTGTGTCCCTGCAGGAGTTAGTGACAATTTGTTTGGCTGTCGGCCTAAACCTGGCCTGAGATCACAGAACAGAAGAACACTGCGAAGAGAGAAAAAAATTAAAACAAAATATTGCTTTTCACAGAATCACAAAATGGGTCAGGTTGGGAGGGGCCACAGTGGGTCATCTGGTCCAACCTCCCTGCTCAAGCAGGGTCATCCCAGAGTACGTGGCACAGAATTGCATCCAGATGGTTCTTGAATATTTCCAGTGAGGTAAACTCTACAGCTTCTCTGGGCAATCTGTTCTGATGTGCAGTTACCCAAACGGTAACGGTCTTCTTCACATCGAGGTTGTGAAAAATAGAAACCCAGTCGGGCAATTTCCAATCAGAATTTATTATATGATAAAAGCAAATTCAGCGCTGGGTGATCAGGGAAGGGGTTCAACAACTCCCAACACCTGTCACACCCAAAGAAGACATTTGTTCTACATTTATT